ATTTCAATCAAAACCATAAGGTGTACGATGAAGATCTTTTCAATAATTTATATTATTCTCTAACAAATTTTTTTTTTCTTTCTAGTCATAAATTGGAGAAGTTTAAGATCAGTTTGTTATATTGACTTGTTTTTTTTTTTTTTTTTTATAACATATATTGACTTGTTTGTTACCCTTAGGCTTATAAGCATGTATTTATTCTCAGTATCTAGAAAAATATATCACAAAACTCATTAAATAATTAAAGTTACATAGAATTTAATATTACAAAAACTCCTTTTTTTTAAAGATAATATTTATAACAGTTTAGTTTAACAATAATGTTATACTATCTCAAAATAAAGTTGGGTTGGCTTCCTATATCAGCTGATCATTTATACATATTATTAAAAGGGGAAGGATCCGTTTACAATTTTTTTTTACAAAATTTTACAAATAACTATGTACTCTCGGGAGACAGATTACCTAAAAGCCTTCTTATTTCAATCGTGTATGATTTGACCTAGTATACTTTGGCTAGTTCATATTGTATTTTGTCTGATCACTTATATATTGCAAGATGATGCTATTTTGTAAAGTCTTGTAATCTGGGTTAGAAAATCCTTTGAGAGGCCGTTTGGTACACGAATTTTTTTCGGATTCTCGAAAAACTGAAATTTTTAAAATTTTAAATTTTCAGATATTATCGTAAACTGAATATAAAAATTATATTTTTGAAAATCGAAATTGTCGGACAAATAAAAATTTCTCCTGTACCAAACGTCCCGTGATAGTATTACTACTTTGTTAGCTAACGGTATTTAATCTGAATAAATTTGTTTTTCAATAAAAAAAATCCTTCAAAAGGAATTTATTTCGTTTCCCAAATATGATAAAACTCAATAGTATTCCTGCATTTTCAACCATAAAATTTCACATTAATATTTATTTAATAATATATATTCTAATAATTATAAATGTGATCAGTTCGATATTAAAATATAATATTTACAATTAGATAAGATACCTATTATAAAAAAAATAGCTTTGTGAAAAGAAACCTCACATTAAATAAAAGAAAAAATATTTTTACTTTTGTTATGATAATATTTTTTCTATCACACTTATATAAAAGAGAGTGGGTAACAGAAAAAAATTCTACAGTAAAAACATAAATATTTCTTTTGTGAAGTATAAAAAACTTACTTAACTTTTTTTTTTTTGTTGAGAAATACTTAACCTTTGGCACACCACATGCACGCACCCCGCCGGATCCTTGGAGTGTGCTGTGTTAAAGACAATACCATTTCTTAAGAAATAGCATAAGAACCCTCATTTTAAAATATTGTTCTCATAAAGCTGCCTTGGCCATTAGGTAAACACCGCATATGGAGTAGGGTAGTGTCCTTGAGTTGTGGGGCTCGACGGGGCCTAAGGTTTTCCATTTTAAAGAGAAGAATACAAAACAAGATTGAAAAAACAATTAGAAAAAGAATATAAAAATCAAAGAGAGAAAGGTGATGCAGAAGAGGAACAATGATCATTTTGTCACGCTTGACAAAAATATTTATCAAATTGCCACGTCAACAGTAAATTTTGTCAAAATACCACGCGGCATATTTCGCTACACTTTGTAGCGAAATATGTTTGCAAGTAATTCGCTATACAGTGTAGCGAAATATGCCATGTCAGGATGCACAGTCAGCAAAAATGACACGTGTCAAGCAGGCCGAAATTTGCTACACTGTGTAGCAAATTATGCTTGAATTATGTCTGCTTGACACGTGTCATTTTTGCTGACTGTGCATCCTGACATGACATATTTCGCTACACTGTGTAGCGAATTACTTGCAAATATATTTCGCTACACAGTGTAGCGAAATATACCGCGTGATATTTTGACAAAATTTACTGTTGGCGTAGCAGTTTGGTAAATTTTTTGCCAAACGTGACAAAATGGTCACTCTTCCAAGATATTGTAGGGGCAGAATTGTATGTATGGACGCTTGTTGCTTCTGGCTAAATTTTTCTCCCCCTCTAGAAGTGCTTGAATATGCGAGTACAATAACTTGTTGGAAAAAATTATGCTACATGTAATAAATTTCTCTCCTACACACCTTTCGATAAATGTGCCATCTTTTTCTTTTCTTTTCTTTTTATTTTTCAGGTGGTGGAGCCCACAAGTTTATCTCTAACTCTATGACATGAAATAACTTATCTCCTTTGATATGAGATTAATAAAACCCTAACTTGTTATACCTTGGTGTTGGAAATCAACACACATAAATTGCACAAATAGAAAAAATTCCCAGTGAACTTTATTCTAGTTCATCCAATATAAGTTACAATATAGGTTACATTTAGCTTGTATATATTATATTCATTTTACCGTTACTCGTTACAAGTCAATTGATTTATATTTACAAAGAAATATAAATAAAATTTTAAAAATTTCAACAACAATTATTCATGAACCTAAACTTAAATTACTAAAAAAAAAATTACAATAAATAATAGGCCTCTAATAATATCAAGCCTCTGTGGGGGCCTGGGGCGCTATCACTTGCAACCCCGTCGAGGCAGATCCCCCTGACCCTACCCGCTTACCTGGAAGCGGGACCCTGATCCCTTCGATAAAAATTCTCATTTAAATACCAAATATAAATCATACCGAAGCAGTTAGATGGTTTTCTTAGAAAAAGTTAAAAATAAAATGGGAAGGATATCATTTTATCCCTGCCGGAACAATGATAAGAAAACAGATGTCAATTAAAGATAAACTCACAAAAACAGATGTGCAGTACTTGTTCTAGCTCATAGAAAATATACATTAGGCATGAGTAATTTTTTTTTTATGACTATAAATTGAGAATTATCCATTTGGGGAAAAAAGCGAGAAGGATATTGTTATAAACAAAATAATAGTTCTTTCCCCTCTGACAAAATATACACATCACATTCATATATATATATATATATAAATAGGATCCTTTGATATCGGTGTCAAATTTCAAATTTGACACCTCATCTAAGAGCTGTTAGATCAAAAAATATCAACGACTCTGATTTGTAAGCATGTGACACTATTGATATTTTTTGATCTAACAGTTCTCAGATGAGGAGTCAAATTTAAAATTTGACACCGGTCTCAGGATCATTTTATACCAGTATAAATTACACTCTCAATCTTGACCATTGATCCCATTATATCTAAAGGCTCTAATTTTTTAGTAATGTGAGTCATTTGATACAACTGGATCAATGCTCAAAATTGAGTGTAAGACTTCTGGTGTAAGAATATTCTACCCCTATATATATATATATATATATATATATATATATATATATATATATATATATATATATATATATATATATATATCCTTTGACACCGGTGTCAAATTTGAAATTTGAAACCTCATCTGAGAGTCGTTAGATAAAAAAAGATAAATGATGTCACATGGCTACAAATCAAAGTTATTGATCTTTTTTAATCTAACGGCTCTCAGATGAGGTGTCAAACTTTAAATTTGACACCGGTATCAAAGGATCCTGCCCCATATATATATATATATATATATATATATATATATATATATATATATATATATAGGGAGGGATCATTTGACTCTAGAGTAAGATTTAAAAATCTTACTCCTCATCCTGCTATTGATTTTCATTCATCTAACTGTTATTATTTATTTGAAATTAATAGAGAGAGAGATCCGATTACCACACGGTCCACACTCTATTTTATTTTTTTTATATATAAAAAATTAAATACAAATTCAATTTTATTAGCGTATTACTTTCAAGTGAATTAAGAATCAAAATTGCAAAATGGATCATAACTGATATGGAATAAAGGATCAAAGTGGAGAAAGGAATTGCAAGAACAAAAGGCACGCAGGCAAATTAGCAAATTACAGTAGGAAAGGGAATGAATAACCACATATTATATTGTAACTGCTAAAACTAGTCCGAAGGGATTTTTAGTCCATAACTGAGATATGTGAGCTAAATTTGGAATTAAGAGACAACAAAAAGTTCAAATTACGAAGGGAACTATAATTTACAACTAAAAAATGGCATCTAGCTATAAAGAATGGGGACACACAATCTTAAAGTAACCGAAGCAAAAGAACAAAGCATTTTTTTATAAAAGGTAGAATGCATGATAAACTAAAGATTCTATATGCAGCACTGAATTACTTCTTTGACTAAAATTCGTGTTGCTAGCCCACTAGATTAACCAAAACACCACGGTTAATTGTCGTCAGAAACGTGTAGTCAATAATTACTCATTTTCTAAGATTATTGTTTTGGGAGCACATACACTTTTTTAAAGTTTGAATAAAACTCAAATGCATTCACAGAAGAAAAAAAGAGAGATTATTGCATCTCTCAAAGATCCTATGCACTCTGTCATGTTATAAAAGCAAAGCTTGTTCAATGTATGAAATGAGGATCACATGTCCATTTGCTAAACTTGCTATTGACTCGGCTATTTGTTGGTAAACCAAGGAAATTCTTGTAGGTCCATATATAATGAGAAAGATTCTGAGTTACCAGTTACCTAAACAATTATAATCATAAATAATCTCTGAAATTTGGGTAAGAGCAATTTGGGTAAACAAAACATAATCTCATAATGAAATAATATACAGATGCCTTCAAAGATTTTCCTTTTAAAATAATCACAAAAAATAATAAAATATATAAAGAATCGGGACCCACAACACATGGCCCTTGACGAAAGCCTATTATTAATGTCCCTGTCTCACGCTCTTGGGGCACCTAATACTCATACAAACACAATAGAAACAGATTTTGGTGGAAATGGAACCTCATACTACAATTCACAATTCACATTTCACATTTCACATTGTTTCATGACACAAATACCCAACCGATTTTAATTTTAATTTCCAATTTGCACAAATTTCCCTTTTTAAATAACCCGTGTTCCCCTCACCTCACTAATCTCATTCGCGTCGTTTTACACAAAGACATCACATTCAGATAGCCCCTTTTATAAACTGTGATAGAACCTCTTCTTCTCTTGCAATCCACACACACAACGACGCGATACACCGCTCTTCTTCTCTCCCTCCCACTTTATAAGGTTCACAATACCAAAACCAAAACCAAAACCAAAATCAGATAGAGAGAGAGAGAGTGAGAGAGAGAGATGGGTTTGCAAAACCAGTTAAACGACGTATCTTCGGGTTCAATTCCGTTACTTGTGTTGGCGCACATCGCCACCTGCGTCAACTACCTCCGCTCCTTGCTCTTCGCACTTCTCCAATCACTCGGTCTCTCCAGATTCCACACCGACCAGATCGTCGACGACCGCTTCTTCGCCGCCGTCGGATCCGGCCTCGCCGGCCTTATCATGCTCTCCGATCAGCTCGCCCTCAACAATCAATTTTTCTATAATCACGATGGCGCCGCCGACGATGACTGCGTGGTGTGCCAGACCACCTTCAAGTACGGGGACCAGGTTCGCATGCTGCCGTGCCGCCACGTCTTCCACCGACGGTGTTTCGACGGTTGGCTCCACCACTACAAGTTCAACTGTCCTCTCTGCCGCTCGCCACTACTCTCCGAAGAGCGCGTGGCTCTCGCGGAGCGCCGCGTTGGTCGCGAACTCCTCTCCTGGTTCTCACCGCAGTGATGCGGCGTCGTTTCCTCCCTCAGAATGACTCTATTGTCCAATCTTCTTTCATTACCCTCAATTTTACCCCCTTTTCGCGGTGGGTTTTCATTTTTACTGAGTTGGTGCCCGTTTTCATTTAGTATCTTTTTTTTTTTTTAATTTACTAATATTAGGTTTTTATTTTTTTTTAATAGGGTACTAGATTTCTTTTCTTTCTTTTTCTTTTTTTTTTTCCTTTTTGTTACAGTATTTAAGTATTTTTGCTGAAGAGATTTTTTTGAAGGGCTCTTCTCCTGTCTGGGAATGCTCTTTGAGCTGCTGTAAATTTTGGACTCCTTTGTGTTTATGAGCAATAATTGGAGACATTGGTAGTCTTTTGCAAAATTTCATACAAGGATAATGTTTCTCAGGTGATAATAGATAATTTTATTTTTTACATACATATAAAAATGTATAGAGTCATTTTTTTTTCTCTCTCTTCTCTTTCTATGGGTCTATATGAATCACACATATTCTTATATGATAGAAGATCAAATTATCATTTATGAGAAATATTAAACTTAGAAGAAGGTTATACTTACAACCTATTTTTATTTACAACTTTTTACAACCATAATCTTAACCGTTGATTTCCGCAAATTAAATTTATTTTCGTAAATTAAATTTATTTATTAATTATTAATTCGCAATAAATGATAATCGTTGATTGACGAAAATCAAAGGTTAAGATTATAGTTGTAAAATATTGTAAATAAAAATAAGTCGTAAGTATAACTTTACGGCTTTTTCACCCTTTTGTCCCTTATTAATTAATTAATAACCATTTTGCTCCTGATTCGAAACTATTTATCAATCTGCCCCTCTTTAGTCGACTACCTTGCATTTTTAATCGACTAAATGGCCAAAACAGACAAAAAATAGCTACTGGGAGATTTAGTCGACTAAATCTCCCTATTTAGTGGACTAAATCTTCATATTTGACAAAAAAAAATAAGTCAGTATGATTTTAATCGATTAAGTAGGGAGATTTAGTCGATTAAATCTCCCAACAACCGTTTAGTCGATTAAAAATGCAAGGTAGTCGATTAAAGAGGGGCAGATTGGTAGATAGTTTCGAATCAGGGACAAAATGGTTATTAATTAATTAATAAAGGGCAAAAGGGTGAAAAAGCCATAACTTTACTCTTAAACTTAATATATTATATTTTATTTTTTGTTAATGAGAAACCATTCTTATAAAATGTTAACTAAAGATTGGAGAATCCGTTATTCACTACTATTTTTAGTCATTGCAAAAAATGATATATGTACGTATATACACGCTAACGCTAGTCCTCTTTTCTTACCAGTTAGCAGTATAATCATAATTAAAATTTGATTTTTTACGAGTTGGGAAAAAATAGCTTGTTAGGAATTGAATAATACGTGGTATGATTGAAGGTATTTCTTAAAGTTTATTGGTTTTTTTGTATAAATTTTGTGGAAATATTATTTCTCATTTTATATGATATAATTTCTATTATGCTACACATAAAAAAATATGTGAGAATGAGACCCATTTACCCATTTATTTTCTTTCTTTTTTTCTCTTTTTTTCTCTCTCTTCTTCTTAATAGGTCTCACAATTTTTTTGTGTTATATAAAATAATTATTTTATTTAACATGAGAAATAATATTTCTATATTTTATTCTTATATATTTTTTGTTAAATGATAATAACATTTTTTTTCTAATCGAGAGAAAAAAAAAACCAAGTTAACATCTCAAACCTTGGTATTATTTATTGGTTGTATGAATGTTATTATAGGAAGTTGTTTTATGTCATGTTACTTTAATAAAAAAATGATCCCACTTTTTTTTTTTTCTTTTTGAGTGAGACCACATCCTTTTTATTAGAGTGACATAACATAACACAAAAAAATTCCTATAACATAATATTCATTAAACCTATTATTTATATGTATTATTTTAATGACCAACTGGAATGATTTTTAATTTAATTCTTATATGATTTCTTATAAGAGAAAAATGTTTTTGTCTTTGCTTAAAAAAAAAAAATTCTATTACACTCATATAAAAAAGTGGGTTCTATTATAAAAAAAGAGAAAAAATAAAATTACTGGAATCCACTTATTTTTATAAGCGTGGCAGAAAAAAATTTATAGAGCAAAAACTGGAAATTAAACCTTTTTTATAAAATAGAACTTTTAACCGAGTCTTGGATCTCTGCTCGTAAAAGTAGCCCTGTTTGTGATGAGATTAATATGATGAGCAACAATAATTGTCTAGATCGTTTGGTGTGGAGAAATATAGGACCATTCACCCTCACTTGTTTTCAGTCCTAGCTGTTGATGTCTCTAAAAATAAAGTGAGGCTGCCGCAGAATGGAAACAAAGAAATAATATGTACTTGCTTAGTTCTCAAAACTTATCTGCTCATTCTAACTAGAGATTTTCCATTTTTGACATGTTTTGCGTTCATGTAGAACTTTGAAATTTATTCTTGCAATGAACAAAATTTTGAGTTTCTTTAATGAAAATTTAAACTACAAAATTGTTGTTTCGGACAACCTTAGACAACAAGAAAAGAAAAGAGGTTTGATGGGTAGCAGAAAGACGAAAACAAAATCTATTGAAAAAAATGTTAAATTATATTTTCAGGTTTAATAATATTCTTTGGTACATAGATAGGCATTAATTAGCGTGGCATTTGGATCAAATCACAAAAAACAAATTGGTGGAATTGGAGCAAGTAGAGGATTTGGAAGGGAAACTCGTTGATTTATTAAAGTATAAAATGAGGTTAAGGTGGTTGCCGTAGCACAAGATGATTCGAACCAAAATAATTACAAAGATTGCGATATTTGAATAGTTTTGGTAACGTTGGGTCCCCAACTCAAAACGCCTCTCTATTATATATCACTTTCACAATTTTTGTTGTTTGCATCTTTATAGAATGGACCCAATGGTTGCTTAAGCCACCTTTGCGCAACTTTCGTGGAAGTAATAGACTGTTTTAAAAAGAGTCCATGGTTTTTCTCAGCGTTTCCTTCCATCTTACCAAACTAAGGAATTTATAGCCAAACAAAATATAGGAAAGATGAGATCCTACCTTGGTCAGCAAAAGTGGCAAACTGAATTATTTCATTTGCGTTTTAACGGTCCAAAATGATTCCATAGGTTATACTCTTCCTTTGAACAGTCTCCAAACTTAAAACTCGAGAATCATTTCCCTTATTACTTGTTGGGTATTAAATTTCTCATATAATAGGAGAGGAGCTTTCTTACAAAGCCTTTATGTAAAACCAATGTGTGTTGATGATCTATTCACTCTTCTCTTCTGTGTGTATAAATTATCCTCACATAAAAGTAGATATTTCCCCCCCCACATACACACTTATCAACAGTCCTCTCATTTTAATATGATTAGATCTAAATAATTATTCTCTTTTTTTATTTTACAAATTTTATCATTACCTTGATATTTGGGTTCATCTACCTCTAACCTCAACTAGTTTGAAATACATTACTGTTATTGTACAAATTTTATCATTAAAATTTTAGCCGTTGATCTGTCAATTAATCATTGAGATTTATGATGTAATATTAAAATTAGATATTGGAGGAACCAACTTGTAGAAAAAAAATCTACATATTCAAAAAATATATTTTATATATTCTTGAAATCGAATAACTTTTTATAACATATGAATTTAAATAATTTAAGTATTAAATCATATAATATTATATAATTTATATTAATGGTTAATACATCAAATTCTAAATAAACATTATTGTACTTCATTTGAGAGTCTAGACATTTAGTTATATATTTTTTTAAAAAATCATTATATATTAATAAGGTGATATGATGAAATACTATTTAATTTTTAAAATCACAATATTTTATAAACTTAATTTTATTTATAAGAATTTTTAATCTGACTAGCAGAATAAAGAAACTTAATATTCATAGAAGGATATTTAATTGTTTAACTAAGTGAAAATTTTGTCTGATAATCTTTATACGTATATTGTGATCTAATAATATAATATTTTTAATTATTAAACGGCAACAACATAATTGAATATTATAGTTGTCGTTTTACTTTAATTGAAAAATACTTTATTTCCCCCAATCAAATACAATAACAGAATTCATAATTTTCTAAATAACAACTCACTTTTACTTTGGACGTCACCAAGCAAGGAGCATTCTTCTCCTTAATAAAATATCTTAGATCAAAAGTGAAAAAGTGATCTTAACTGTTAAAATCTATAGATAAATCCAACGTGTCATCAAAAGTAATTTTTTAGTCTTCATTTTGTAACAAGATAATCGATGATAGAAGTTGAACGAATGAATGGTCCAACATCGCACTGGGAAAAATAAAATAAGTCAAAGGGACCAAAATGCACAAGACACCTTATCAGTCAAATAACAATTGGGTTAGATCATACACGATTGAGTTTGATTCACTGGTTGTTGGGCCTTTGCTTCTATTGGTGTTATGAGATGGAGTTTTCACGGGATGCTGTGCAATTATGCAGGATGGATGTCTTGAGGATGGATCTCTTAGTTATTTGAGGCAAATAGGGGAAGGTATCTGCAAGATACTTTAACAATTAAGTCAGTATACGAGTGATAAACTTCAGTTAGGAGAGGAAAGATGATCGTACCTAAACTGAACCTCATGTCTATGTTTATACAATAGATGAGCCTAGATAACTTTAGTATAACGGCTATTAATCATATTAGTGCATTAAGGTGGTTGTTTCAGGCTATCCTGTGTGCGGAGTGTCTATTTGTGATGTGGATATTTGTTGTAGATTTCTAAGCTGTTGATGTCATGTGTAGTAAGCGCACGGTTGTCCATGTATCCCGCATTTTGTTAGCGTAAGGGGGTGTTTGGTACGAAAAATTTAATAGGAATGTTGGGAAAGTAGAGTAGGCAAAATATGTTAACTATGTTTGGTATGTCTTGAAGTTATAAAAAACCGATAATATTATTTTTTTCATGACTTTTGTTTTGAACTAGCCAATGGAAAAAAAAAAAAATCATTTGAAGTGTGGTATTTTTTAAATCCAAGAATGGAGAAACACCTTTTACTATTTGTAGACAAAAACGCCCTCAAAAAGTCTATATCAAATACAACTTGTTTGAAAAAGTCTGTGTAATTTCGTAATTTCGTTACACATTCCGATCAATATTTCACCATCAACCAAATAAAGTATTAGTAAAAATAACTCAACCTCCCCGGCAAATTTTTTGCCTACCAAACACCTTTTTGTAACTTATCCGAGCACAAAAATTTCTCATCGTATTTCGAGAATTTTTTTTCCCAGTAATAAAAAATTTCTCTCATACCAAATGGTGGTAGCTCAGTTGGCGCATGGGAGCTGAGCA